CCTCCTTGAATGGTTCTGATTACTTCTAGAGTGTCCAAAAGCAGGCACACCTTCCTAAAACCCAGATCCCACGCATGTTTGAGACCCGTCAATCAGCTGCTCTTGGTTTGTTTTCTTAGACTCCATTTCTCTCTGACGACGTCGACGCGAGAATTTTCTGTCTCACGAATTACATGGAAACAAGCGAGGACAATCTTGTCATTTCATTAAAAAATTTAATATTAAGTCAGTACTTTAACTTACAGTGATATATCACAAATTCAGGGACTTTCTTTTTTAACAAGTATGATTTAAGGATCTTCAATGAAGTTTTCCCAATCTTATGAGATCTACTTCGTTGTTAACATTTTTTTTAAATACTCCCTACGACCCTTTATATTAGTTTTTTTTTTTTTTTCAGTACACAAAGGGATAAAGCCCAAATAAAATTAGACTAAAACTAATCGTAGGTAAGTTAAGTTCAGTCTATCTCTATACAGTACATCAAGTAAATCTTTAAGAGACTCACTCAAAACTTGTAATCCACATTTTTGTGAGAGGCTCTAATTAGCCAACCAATCTGCACTAAAATTCCCTTCTCGATAAGTATGTGTCACGCTGATATTCCAGCTAACATCAATCATAGTCTGAATTTGACGAAGGAATCGATTCTTCACACAGGAACATGACAACACCTGTTTCAGCATATGTACAAGTGCAGTAGAGTCAAATTCAATGATAACCTTCCTTAGACCCAATCTTTGTAACAAGAGGAATTCAAACCATAATCCTTATAACTCCGCCTCCAAAGTTGTACACCTACGCACTCTATTAACAAAACTCCATTTCCAGTCACCAGTATAATCCCGTATGACTCCTCCACAACCAGTGTCCCCAAGCCACCCTTTAGCAGCAACATTAATATTGAGCTTTAACCAACCCTCTTCAGGCGGCCACCACCGAATATCATCCCAACACTTGAGACAAATATTGTCATCCACATCATAAGCCTTCTTAATTCCATCAACATATTGCAAAATACTCATAGTAGAAATCTTGGAGGAATCAAAGTTAAGATCAAACATCATTTTATTCCTCCAAGACCACATGAACCACATAGCCACCCTAAATATCAAATGCCAATTATAGGCATCCCTCCTTGATCTATCACCTAAATTCTTCTGAAACCATTCATGCAAATTTAAAAAAAAAAATCAAAAGAATGCATACCTCGAATCAGCTGCTCCCACACACTACGCCCATAAGAACAATCCCTCAATGCATGCAAACAGAACTCCTCAACCAACCGACACATGCAACAAACAAACGACCCATCAACACTGTTAAACCTTCGAATAGACGTTAGTAATCTATCTGAAGCAACCAACCATAAGAATGTTTGGATACGTCTCGGACCCTTCCAAGACCAAATTTTCATCTAAAAACTATTTCCCTCTTGTTGATCAAAACCACTTAGATGCTTGTACATTGTAACAATATTAAAATCATCAGAACCACTACGTAACCATTTTTAAGAAGTATAATTTAATTCATTTTATAAGTTACTGGTTTATATGATTATTTTATTTTAAATTAAAATTTTTAAATTATTTTTGAAAAATAAGAGAGATAGAAAAAATAATATTACATAGTTTGTTTTTTACTTAAAAGTTATGTTTGAAATTTTATTTATTTTTATTTTTTATATTTTATTATATTAGTATTGACTGATAAAACAAAAATTTACAAATGAGATTGGAGGAGGATTAACTGGGGAGCACTTATACATACGCATAATGACAGTGACTCAGGTAAGTAGTGAGGGAGTAGCTGAGGGTTTCTAGGATTTGGTGCATAGACCAACATCACTTTAGCTGTGTGCGCAGCTTAAACCGCGTCGTTTTTGTGTCACTTGAAATCTCAGTCGTCTAATTGAAACGTGCCATCTTTGTCGCTGTAATATCTTGTGAGTTGTGACAGTGAATCTCAATGCTGGTTCCTGCCTAATCATTTGCTTCTCAACTTGTTTTAAATTTTCCTTTCTGATTTATTTTTCTTTCACGAATTTCCGAATCTCAAATTTTAAAAATAATCTTATAAAAATTGAAGTTTTGAAATATGATGAAAAACTTAATATATATATATGTGTGTGTGTGTGTGTGTGTGGATAAAATCATAAAAAGATAATTCTACCCTTAAAGTTTAAACTATATAATTAACATATATTTTTCTGACCATGATTTGAACAAAATTATCTTCAAGAGGAGAATGTCTATGAAACAAAAAAAAAAAAACATATACTAATGTTTTGCTGCATTTTTCTTTAGAGGTCCCTCCTCCAGAAGTTAAATATTTAGCCCATTAGGTAGGGTTGGTCTAATATTATTTTATTTTTTGAAAATAACACTGAATTTATTTTTTATTTTTAAATTATTTGATATAATTATTTTTAAATGTATGACTTGAAAATTTGTAAACTAAAATATTGAAAACAATAAACAGCTTACAGAGATTGAAAGGGTAGAAAACAATTATTTAATGAAAACAAAAAACTGAAGTGGATATAGATGATGAAAAGAGATCAGAATAGATTTAAATGTGAATACATAAAATTATACAGAGAATATAAAAGCAAAACTGCTATAATTTGAATTGTACAGAGAATATAAAAGCACGGGCTCCATTTTGCATGATTCAGCGGCTTTCATATTACGGAGAATTTTATTATACATAGGACAAGATATGTAATTTTATTTCAATTAATCCTAAAAAATGATGAAATTATACTGCATGACCAAGGAGATTAAATTAAAATTTTTTTTTGTAGGTAAACAACAAAAATGCCCTTAAATTATTTTTACTAATTTAACTTGTTATTTTAATAATGTTACTTGTAAATTTAATAATGGTGTGTTTGGATTGATAGGGATTTATATTTAAACTGAATTCCTTATTTGGATACATAAGAATTTATGGATTCAAACTCAAATCCATTTCTTCATTATATAATTTCTTCGTAATTTTAAATTTCTTTTACACTCTAGTTATTTAAAATTTTTGTCACTTTAAACATCTTATTCTCTTTGTATTTTTACTATATGTATCTCTTCTCATATCTCGTTCTCGTCTTTCATAGTAAACTCACTATTTCTAATTTTTTATTTTAAATGTGATATTTGAAATGTGAGATTTTAACTCCACATAGAATTCAAATTCAAATCCACCAGTCTAAATGCTATCTAATGGTGTGTCTAGATTTATGGGGATTTGGATTTGAACTAAATCTTTAATTAGAATACACAAAAATTTATAGTTTTGAATTTGAATCATTTCAAATTATAATCCCTTTGTAATTTAAAACTCTGTTTACACTCTAGTCATTTTAAATTTTAATTATTTGAAACATTGTATTCTCTTCATACTTTTACTATTGATAATTTTATGACTCTCGTATTTTTTTCATATATTATCTATTAAAAAATAAAAATAAATTCATTATTTTTATTTTTTATTTTTCATTTCGAATCTCAAATCATCTCTCCTCATTTGAATTTTTTCAAACTACTCAAACAAAAGATTTCAAATCTAAAATCCAAATCCATTAATTCAAACACTACCTTAAAGAATTTGTTAACAACACATTTTGCATATTATTCAATCTTATTGACTTGTTTAAGATATATACCCATTGGTTAAAACTGTACTGTAACTTAACTTGTTATTTTGATAATGTTACTTATTAATTTAATAGAGGAACTTCTTGACTAAACATTTTTGACACTCAATATAATTTTATAACATGAAGTGGATTTGTTAAAACCATAACTTCACTTGTTATTTATTTTAATGTTAGTTATTAATTCAATAAAATAACTTATTACGGTACATTTTTTGCATAGTTGATATTATTTTATTGACTTGTTAAAATTGCAACTTGACTCATTATTTTAGTGTTATTACTTGTTAAATTACTCATATTAAAAAAAACTAATTGAAGGACATTTTGGCCATTTTCCTACAAAACATAATTTCAATTTAATCCCTTAGTTCTAGGTGTAATTTCATAATTGTTTGGGACTTATTTAAATAAAATCATATCTCTAGTCCTATAATGAAATTCTCCCTTTATATTAATACTTGAGACACAAATAATACGACATATATAGTATACATGCAACATGTGATAGTCATGGTACAACTATGGAATAAATTCTTGCTGGAATTATTGCAGATGCATAGATGGAATGAAGTTGCCTAAAGCCTGCAGGTCAAGACTTGGAAGCATCGTCTTATGTTCAGGAATATTTTGGGACAAGTTCTACTATTATATATTGATATCTTTTTTTTTTTTTTTTTGGGGTGGGGGGAGGCAACGTAACCAAGGATCAATGGATCATACACGGTTGACGTATGTCCCCAAATATGAGGTACCCGCAAGCTGCTAACTGAATTAGTCTGAGTCAGACTCAAGATACCGAATTGCAAGCAAAGAAAAGAGATCATACGCGGTTGGCTATGGCAAGCTTGCTCCTGTATTCTTCAAATTTATAACCATTCAGGACTATGGATATATACCTCATTTCATTGCCCTGGTCCAGTTCATCTTACAAAAGAAAGTCATGAAGCAGAGGTCGGCAGCAATAAATTAAATAATAGATTTTGCAAATTGCAATCTTCAAATATAATAATATGTATGTATATATATGTTAGTCAAAGACGGTGGGCGATCTCGCGAATTGAAAAAAAAAAAAAAAAAGATAGCGGCCAAGTAATTAGACCACATGACAAAGACAAATGCTTTTTAAAAAGACTTGATTCTGGAAGCAATCTTATACGGAGAACAAAGAGTTTATCCTTAAGCTCGAAATCCTTGACCATGAGTCCAAGTTTGGTCCACGGATTCCGCCCACACTACTGTGACTATAAATTCATGCTTACATTCTCCGATCATCTTCCATATCAGTAACCAGACAAAGAAGAAAGCTAGATATTTTGGAAGCATATTTCAAATATATCAAAGAATGAAGATCACATTGGCAGCGGCATTCATCCTTCTCTTAGCCTTTAGCACAAAGCCAATGCTCGGAGGATCAGCCGATGCAAAACCGGAGCCAGTTCTCTCCGGCAGCAAAATGCTCCGAGCAGGTCACAGTTACTACATAATTCCAGTTCCCCAGCCCCCAAGCGGCGGCCTTCAGCTTGCAAGCAGTAGAAGAAAGTGCCCACTTGACGTTATTACAGTGCAAGAAGATCCAAGCCTACCATCATCCTTCGTTCCCGTCAACTCCAAGGACGGTATGATTCGTGTCTCTACTGATCTCAACATCGTGTTCAATACTGACACAGACACAGGATGTCCTCAGTCCAACGTGTGGAAGGTCGATGACTACGATAATAGCACTGGACAGTGGTCCTTGACGACGGGCGGGGTTGTGGGGAATCCTGGACCACAAACAGTGAGGAATTGGTTCAAGATTGAGAAGTATGAAGATGGTTATAAGTTGTTGTACTGTCCAAGTGTGTGTAGGAACTGTAATAATGTTCCGTGCAAAGATATTGGGACGTATATTGATAGCTCTGGATACGAGCATCTTGTCCTGAGTGACATGCCCTACAAAATTCAATTCCTATGATGTGGTTAGAAGGACTTGATTCTACTTGCTTATAGCAGCTTTGAGTGATTTCCCTCACGAAGTTCAGTTTCAGTAATCAAGCCTGACGAAGGTCGTTTCATCAACAATAAGTTAATGAATAATGTAATTTGTTTGGCCTTAAAGGGACACTTTTTATTGCCGTTGCTTATAATAGCTATAGGTTCCCTAAGTTGGCAAGTAGGGTTGTATCTTGTCTTCAAGTAATAAAAAACAATAATATATAAATAAGCAAGTATTACCATAGTGTGCGCGTTCTCCCCCCCCGCCCTTTTCGTACTAAAATTTTTATATTTTATTTTTGGAAAATATAATAAGCATATAATACTAATCAACAACCAAAATTTTTGATATATTGTTAACCAAAATATTTAAATAACAAATTTACCAAGGAAACAAAAAAAAGGGAGATGAAGTTCATGTTGATAAATCTTATTTTACATCATAAACTGACTTGGGAAATGAATTACAGTTACAAAACATTCATATTTCTTCTTTTAATTTTTAATTTTTTTAAAAAAAATTATGAGCTCAGAGGGCTACCCATACCTATTTTTTAATGGCTTAATAAAGTTGTGCTTTGAAGCCTGATTACACTACAAATCATTGATTTTTCAAGCTTGAATCCGTCTCTTTTTTTTTTTTTTTTTCTAAAGAGATATAAGACCGGTAGTCATATATATAGCATCCGTCTCTTGCCATGCCTCCATTTAGGGAGATTTATGAGTTTTGCTGAGAATGCAATGACCAGTATTCCCTCTACTAACTTTTCTTTTAAAAATTTGATCCTTTTTAACCTCAAGCTATGTTATTGGACTAATTTAATAACCCAATATCAGCCAATATCAGCCAAAAATTTAATTTTCTGGAGCCATTGGCACCAACTGCCAGGTCGCTTCTTCTTGAAGAAGAATTTTCCTTTATTAGGCTCTATAATTACTGCCAAACGTGTCTTTATGCCAAGCTTTCAAAGTCTCACTGAGATTCTCTTTATAATGCCATGCACTTTCCTTAGGGGGAGCAGGAGCAGGCAGCAGCAGAGAACCTGCTCCCCTTTCCTGATATATACTGACATGGACTCATCAGAACCATGGGCCCACTATTGGGGTTCGTTGTGTATTGCTATTGACGGCCCATTATTAACATTGTGGATGTTTGACATTTCTTGTTCTTTCTTTGACCATAGGTTTAATGACAGCTATCTTGAAGGCCACCCCATCCTGTGCTTTAGCCAATGAAGACTCGCCGTTCTTTAAAAACAGATGGCGCTGAGTGTCTCCCCCTGGTCCATAGGTTTTGTTCCACTATGGCTAGCCAACAAAATCAAATATAGCACGTGCTTTCCCATGTTCTATCAAAGACTGTGGGCCTCTCACAAACTAACCATAGGTATTGGTCATTTGGGGTATGTGTTTGATAGGATCAGAATTCAATTTAGTAAGCGGCACAAATTCACCCACTTAACGAGTGTGTGTTTCATATGGTATTATAAAAATCATTGATTCAATTAAACAGTTATCGAAGATGTTAACACATGCAAAATACAAATTAAATCACAGCCATACATTTTTCCATGTCCCATATTTTAATTCATCAATTTATGTGTTTGTAGAGAAATTGTTGAAATTTATTCTCATAACATTGTCGTCTTTTAACTTACCATTTTGTTTATTTTCAGTAAACATGAATTTTCAAGTGTTACTAAAATTTGAGACACTTATAGAATCCAAATACATGTTTGAGGTAGCAAGTAAGAATTACTAAACTTTTTATTAAACTTGTTAAACACGAGTGCTGCGTTGTGTTGTATTGATTGGCAAGAGCCGGCTAGAGAGACTCACTATCACTATACAGTATAGCGCAAGAGAGGAAAAGCTTGAAAAGGCTTCAGAAGCAACTTGATATGAAAGTGAAACACAAAAGGCCTTTGTTGCATCTGCCAATCGTATAAGTCGGAATCATTGACTACGATTCAATGCATGCACAGGTCCGTGCGTGGATTCCGACCACACTTTATAGCTATAAATTCATGCTCACTTCTCTTCATCCACCATCAATAACCAAATTTCCCACCAAGCTAGCTTAGAAGAAGCATTATTCAAATCAGAGAATTCATGAAGATCACATTAGCAGCATTTGTCCTTCTAGTCGCCTTGAGCACAAGGCCCCTTCTTGGAGCAGCCGATGCAGCGCCGGATCAAGTCATCGATACCTCCGGCAAAAAGCTCCAAGCAGGCGTCCGTTACATCGTACTTCCAGCTCCTCAGCCCCCAGGCGGCGGCGGGCTCGCTCTAGCAAGCATTGGAGAAAAATGCCCACTTGACGTTGTGGCGGTGCTCGGCGATCCGGGCCTAGGCGTGTCATTTACACCTGTTAACTCCAAGAAAGGTCGCATTCGTGTGTCCACTGATCTGAACGTCATGTTCTCCGCCAACACAGATTGTCCTCAGTCCAACGTGTGGAAGCTTGACGATTACGATAATACCACTGGACAGTGGTTCGTGACAACAGGTGGGGTTGTGGGGAATCCTGGGAGGCAAACAGTGAGGGATTGGTTCAAGATTGAGAAGTATGAAGAAAGTTATAAGTTCGTTTACTGTCCAAGTGTCTGCACAAACTGTAAGGTTCTGTGCAAAGATATCGGAATCTATGCGAACAACCATGGAAATCGGCGTCTTGCCCTGAGCGATACGCCGTTCAAAGTTCAATTTCTATGTTGTCTTTAGAAGGTACGACAATATTCAATAAGAAAATAAGTTCAATAATAATGTAATTTGTCCTTTGAGGGACTCTATTGTTGCCGTTGTTCATAATAGTTTTAAGTTCCACAAGAGTACAATCGGGTTCTTATGTTGTCTGTAAGTATTTTTAATACTTGATCATTACTTCATCCGTTTCTATTTAAATCTAAATTTTGCACACCTACATTAAGAAATCTAATTAATATGCTAAAATTGAAGTGATCCTTAATTTTCTAATATATCCCTTTGCTTTAATTCAAATGGTAAGACAACTTCCAAATATGTTTTATGTGGGTTAATTTTTAATTTTTAAATTCTTTAAGAATAACGTGGTAAAAATTAAGATATATTGTTGTCCACTGAGTGTGATTTTACTGTAGTTCTGCTTGTTTCACGGGGGAAACCCATGCTGTCTCGTCGGATTCATTATCCACTTACGAATTATGATGAATCCAATTCGTAAGCTTTTTAATCAAATTCATAAGTCATATAAATGGAATCAATAATTATTATAAAGAGTGGAAATAGGTCAGGCTAGGTTTAAGCTTAATTAGGCTTGTTTAGGCCAAGCCAATTTTTTCACACACACACTAACTATATCTCATAAACATATCATTCATCATTTGATTTTTAATTAATATATTCTTTTTCTTATTTTAGTCATATTTTTAATCATATTAGACTTATATATTAATTTTAATGTTGTTACTTTATTGTTATATTATATTGTATTTGATAAATCTTTTTAATTATTATATATTATAATTGATAAATTAAGTTATATATTGTATACTATAATAGTCCTAAAGTATAATTGAGATATTTAAAACTAAAATGCAAACTTATTTAAAAAGTTTACTTTTAAATAAGCTTTCAGATCAGGTTAAATTTTAGATAAGCTCATCAAGTAAGTTGTATTACACAGGCTTAGGCCTAAGCTATATTTAGCCAAAGTCTAACACAGTCTAGCCTATTTTCACTCCTAATTATCATTACTGCCAAGTTCAGCCGTCAATTTCAGGTTATATTATATCGGATTAACGGGTTTTATTAAATAAACTTATAATTCGAAAGAAAGATTGCAACTGTTACTCACAGGTCAACCGTTAATTTCATTGTATGGTCCCACGTTGCATTTTTCTCTCTTTTTAATACTTTTTAGTTAAGTTAAAATAATACCGCAAAACCGCATTTCTCCTATTAATTGGACCTCGTTGTCCCCTCACACCCCTCCACATCAACAACAAAATATCTCAAACAATGAGTAATATTCCAATTCTACGTACCTCTCTTGTTCTTCTCTCTTCTCCTTTCCTTCCCCACGAAACCACAGTCCTTGAGACCTGCGAGTCCTGATGAACCGGAGCCATTTCTCGATTCGGGCGGAAAAAAATCTCCGATCAGGTCGGAGTTACCACATAATTCAAGTTCCCGCTCCCCCAGGCGGTGTGTTTGAGCTTGCAAGAGTCAGAAGTGTCCACTTGACGTAATTACAGTGCAAGAGGATCCCAAGCCTACCATTATCGTTCATCCCCATTATCCCCAAGAAAGGTATGATTCATGTCTTTATTGATCTCAACATCGTGTTCAATACTGACACAGACACTGGACGTCCTCATCAACCCAACGTGTGGAAGCTTGGCGACTACGATAATAGCGCTGGACAGTGATTCGTGACGACCAGTGGGGCTGTGGGGAATCCTGGACCACAAACAGTGAGAAATTGGTTCAAGATTGAGATATATGAAGATGGTTATAAGTTGGTGCAGTGTCCAAGTATGTGCATTCAGTGCAAAGATATTAGGACATACATTGATAGCAGTGGACACGAGCATCTTGCACTGAGTAATGTGCCATACAAAATTCAATTTCTATGTAATGCTTAGAAGGACATTATTCTGTCTACTTTGCTTATACCCATAAGTTCCCTAAGTGCTGTGATTTGTCCTTAATTAGAGGGACACTTTATATATGTATATATTTCTATTGCTTATGATATATTTTCTTTATTTTTATTTATAGAAGAAACTATTACTTTTAGTTTTTTTTATATAAGCAAAATTACATTTTTTAATAAACATTTATTGCAAACTTCTAAATTATTCCTCATAATTTTATCATTCAAAACCATAAGAAACAATTAATGAAAACTTGATTAACACAATTAATAAAGGATATTGTAATTCAATTCTTTTATTTTCAAACACAATTAATATAGTTAATTGATTTTCTTAAATTGTTTGATATAGGTTTTTCTCCTACAAATAAAAATGGAGGGAGTAATTATATAGGTTCCCCAAGCCTGTCTTTGGTGCTCATCAATTGTTGTGCACTGTTTCATCATCTAGAAAAAAATTTGGGCCATCCATTTTTAATTTATATTTATTAAGACAAAAATTTAAATTTTTTTATAAATATGTTCATCATTAATTTGGACAGTATTAATCTAAGTTGGGTGATCCAATTTAATATTATAATTTTATAAATTTGCTGTTTGAATGTACTCTGGATGGTTCATATTTAATATTAAATTTTTATTTATAAGGTCCAAATTTAAAGTTTTTATTTTTTATTTTAACATTGTATTTATTAAAATAAAAATATAAAAAAATTTAATATTGAATATATTGTTATTGTTTAGAATACATTAAGATAGTCAATTTATAAAAATTATAATATTAAATTTGATCATCTAGATTAAATCAGAAATGTCCAGATTGATGCTGAATATACTTGTAAAAAATTTATAAATATTTATTTTAATAAATATAAAATTAAAATTGAAAAAAAAAAAATCTGTGTCATCCGAATTTAATTTGGATGGCCCAAGTTTTTTCGGATGTTGAAACGGTTGCTGCACTGAAGGCGGATCCGTTGGCAAATAGGGTTACAACTTGTCTTAAAATAAAATAATAAATAAATAAGCAAGTGTTGATGCATGCCCCCACAGTGCGTGTCCTTTTTTATTTTCTTACTTTAATTTTTATATTTTACTTTGAGAAAATATAATAACATGTATGATACTTTTTATTTCTGAGACTTATAATAATTATATCTTATCATAAACTACAAAAATAATTTTTGAATTAAAATTATAAAAATAATACTCCTTATTCTACTTAAAAATAAGTCATATATTGTCATCCATATCAAACTAAATCAACCGCTATCCATATAATCTAATAAGGAAGTCAATTTTATACTCTTTTGCACTGAACATGCATGAATGGCCTGAGTTCATGACCGAAACTAAATTAATTGTTTCTAAATTAATGTCTGTAATTGAGCTGAGAGCTGGCTTTTGCTAACTCACTAAATAAAAAAGCATATCATTAGTACTCTTTTGTGAGCTACACTTTGAGAAACCACAGCGTAAAAAGAACTGAAAATAATGCTCATATATATGTCTCCACAAGAAAAACACACCATCAGGTTGGAATTATTTAAAAAAAAACACACACACACACGCACACACGCACACGCACACACATAAGAGTAAAACAAAAACAAAAGAAACAAAACCTGCTGATATATATGTGTGTGAGTGCAAGAGAGAAACCAGGAAATGAGACATCAGGAGACAAATCAGGTTCAAAGATGTCCTGAGAGAGATATATAAATTGAGGTTTTGATCAAAACAAAGAATATATGGGCCATTGGCGTTGAAGTCATTTATTCCATTCATCAGAGAAAATAATCATCTCTTTCAAAATAATCATGAGAGTGCAGTACTCAAATATATATAATTGAAGATACGTCAAACAGAAAATACTTGCTCATTTATTTATTGTCTCATAATTTGTTGAGCACATATGCAAGGAACTCAGCTTAAGGACAAATTACATTATTCATAAATCGTTGTAATGTCGTTGAAGATATGTTTAGGCTTTCTAAACTGAACTTTGTAGGGCTCATCGCTCAGAGCAAGACGCTGGTTTCCATCTGAATCAACGTAAATGCCAATATTTTTGCACTCAACTTTACAGTAGCTGCACACAGTTGGACAGTAAACCAACTTATAACTTTCCTCGTACTTCTCGATCTTAAACCAATCGCTCACTGCTTGTGGTCCAGGACTCCCCACAACTCCACCGGTTGTCACGAACCACTGTCCCGTGGAATCATCGTAGTCGTCGAGCTTCCATACGTTGGACTTATCACAATCTGTGCTGGCAGAGAACACGACGTTCAGATCCGTAGAGACACGAATCACTCCTTTCTTAGCGTTGAGCCGTTGACCGGAGTAAACGACAATGGCAGGCCGGGATATGCCTGCACCGCCACAACATCCATTGGGCACGTTTTTCCTATGCTTGCAAGAGCAAGCCCACCGCCGTTTGGGTTAGGAGCTGGAATCACTTAGTAATTGGCACCAGCTCGGAGTATTTTGCCGGAAGTATCGATCACTTGCTCTGGTGCCGGACCGGCTGCTCCGAGTAGAGGGTTTGTGCTCAGGGCGAAGAGAAGGGCGAATGCTCCTAATGTGAGCTTCATTCTTTGATTTGAATGCTTCCAGACTAGCTTTGTAAGTCAAGTTTTGTTAGTGATGAGAGATGAAGAGAGTTGAGCATGAATTTATCGCTGAAGCGTGGTCGGAATCCATGGACTTAAACATGCAATGACGGTCAAGGATTACGACTTAGTAATAGTGGGTCTCACTCTCACCGCGTCCTGCCTAACAATAAACCATACGGGATTTCATTTGTATTTACAAGACCTCTTTATTTAGCATAATGAAATAAAATATGCTTTAATTTGTATTCTCCTCTTTGACCAAATAGTTACTCCCTGGTCCTATTTAGAATAGGGAGTGATTATTATTTTTTTGTCTTAGAACACCTCAATTATTATTATATCTATTTTTATTCATTTATCTTTATTAAATGTTGGAAAGATTGTTAAATGCTGGAATATTTGATTTTAAAGTATACTTTGATATTTAATAGGGGTAAAATTAAAAAAAGAGTCATTAAATTTTTAATAAATTAAACTTAACAAAATTTAAATTTTTCTTTGATTATAGTGAAAATAGTGGAAGTGACTAATAAATATGATCAAGTAATTTATCTACA